TGGACCTGGGATTCTGTACTTGACTTCCAGTTACTGGTTCCGATAGGTGAAGAAACCTGCAACGGCACCGGAAGCACCATACACCCGTGCGCGCACGCGGATAGAGGCATAGAGAATGTTTTGAACCCTAACTCTCTATTAACCATCGCTGGGTGATATATAGGGCAAGGTGGGAGTGTGATGCATACACGGACTCAATCTCAGCTGAGGAGTGGAATTGATCGAACCGATGAGTCCTCATCACCATTTTCGACGATGAATTCCTCGAATCAGCAGAAACTACCAAGTTCGTGAGCTCTAAGACTCGCTTAACCGGAGGGTTGGGAGAGAAATACCAAAATAAACATTGCTCCGACTGTTCTGCATTCTGATCGGGAACTCGCTAGTAGGTTCCTTCCCCCAGTCCTGAATAGACCAGCTGCTTGTGAACTCATCACTCATTATATTACCACCCTGGAAGGCTCCGATTTTTGGATTAGACGAGTAATCTTCTGCGGCTGGATTGGTGCCCTTCGGTAGCGCGTCCGGCAATTCTGGAATGGGCGGGAGAGGGTGAGAAAGCCGGCGGAAGTCATGAAATTCGTAGTCGGTAAAGTAGTCCCCCGTTGAGGTCCTATAGCACTCACAATCCGTGGCGGAAGCGGATGGGAGTAGAAGTGGCAGGACGAAGGATATTGCTAACAAGTTGAACATGGTTGGGAGATTGAGGATGGAGGTTGGAAGTGAGGATGAAGTTGAAGGGATGGATGGCTAGATCGGCCGTGGGAGCGGAGCAGCTGAAGGATTGGCTAAAGAGTGGTGCACCAACAACCGGGCGGTGTGGTATGGACGGGGGAAAGGAAGACTTTGAAAGGGAAACCTCCGTGTTTCACGTGAAAATAGAAGCAAGGTTGGGGTGATCATGACGACGACGGCTGGGCCGTGAAAAGCTTGTGCTCGACGACGAATAGCCGTACTCGAGCACTGTACTACCGTAGTACTCGTACAGTACAGTCGTGTCCGGAAAGTTTTCGTACCCCTGAGATGCAACCCCGCAACACCGCATCACCACAACAACCCTCCTCACCATGGCTCCTCCACATAACCTAAGAGCAAGAGAAGACCTGAATAAGGAAATTTATACTCTGTATAAACATACAGATATGGGATATGACAAAATTTCTAAGTCTTTAGGTGTATCCAAGTCAACTGTTTAGTCTGTGGTCAAAAGAGTTAAATCTAGGGGTGGAAACACTCACCATGCAAAAAGAGGTGGAAGACCAACCAAGATTACCGACATAAAAAGAAAGATAGCGGAGTCAGTTATCGATGCCGAGCCTCATTTAGTGTTATGCGACATTGCCAAAAAAGCGAATATTAGTCTTGGTAAAACTACTATTGATAAGATTATATCGGAAGCTGGTTTTGAGCTTCTGATACCTAGGAAATAGCCTTTGTGGAGAAAAGGACGAAAGGAGAAAAGAAGAGAGTTTGCTAGGAGAAGGTGGAACTGGAAAGGGGCATGGAATTGGGTTGTTTGTATGGATGAAGCTATCATTGTTTATGATCCAAATCCAACAGACAGAAAGGTCAGAGTTAGACCTGGTGAAGAGCTGGAAGAAAAAAACTTGAAGCCTAGCTTTAAGTCTGGGAGGACTAGTATTGGGGTATATACTGCAATGATGAAGAGAAGAAAGTCTGAGTTAATTCTTGTGAGAAAGAGAAGGAAGGAGGAAAGGACCAGTAAAAGAGACAGACTTGGCCTAAACTCTCACCAATATGCAACTGAGATCCACGAGCCTTACCTTATTCCTTTTATAGAGGGTCTGGATAGACCTTCTGACAACATCTACCTAGCAGCAGACAATGCCTCCTAGCATGGTGGTGAGGAAAACAGAAAATTGGAAGTAGACTGTAGTTACAAAAAACTCCCTTGGCTACCCAACTCACCAGATCTCAATCCTATTGAGAACACATAGGCACTACTCAAAAGAGCCCTTACCAAGTGATTCTCCAGACTGGAAAGAAGGCCTCATAGTGCAGCTGAATTGTTTGAGGCAGCAAAGGAAGAGTGGGATTTAATTCCTTAAGTGAAGTTGGATGGATGGATAGATAGAATGGCTGAGAGAATGCAAGCTGTACTGGATGCAAATGGAGGCCATACAAAATGGTAATAATGTTTTCTTATTGTCTACTAGCAATACTACTAGTATCATGTTTTCTTTAATTGAATTCATTACATTTTTTTTGAAATTTTTATGGCTGGGGGTTGTGGTTGTACGGTTGCCATGCGAGGGTACAAAAACTTTCTGGACACGACTGTACAGTACTGTACTGTACTTGGGTTGGCTGTCACTCGTCCATGGTGATTTCTACAAGTAGTGCTTGATGGCCTAGACCAACAGGTAAATGAAGTGAGGAATCCCTCCTGATCCCTTCCACTTGCCAACCAGGCGGGATCTCACATATACAAATTTAGGCAAACGAGCAAGGCACCAATTATAGAATTATCATCGTGGTACCCGTATTTGCTCAGTTTATTTGGATTGTCACCAAGAGGTAGTACCGCCAGCATGCAATATCAGACAGGGGTACCCTGTAATGTCTATAATGCCTATATTACAAGTCTTGAGAGTACTAAAAATGAGGAAACAGATTGCTGGGCCGGTCCTAGATGGGCAAAATGCTTCCACAAGGTTCAAGTTGAAGATTGTCGGTTGCAAGCGGCTCATGGTGATATTCCTCACACTGCCAGAAGAATTCAAGGAACTCAGGCTCCGAGTTATCCTACTTATCACAGTTGCTGTTATTGGTATGGCCAGCCTGTTCTCCTTCAAGCAGCGGAAGAGCTCGGTAATCTTGACCCTCCTGATAGTAGGGGGGGACTACTAAATCCTGTTGCCAGTCCCCCACCTTAATCCTATCGAATCCCTTAATCTTAAGATTATGATATTGACTTCCATCAATAGGGAGAGTAAGGCCAACCTCATGAAATGACTTTTGTACTATGAGGTGCTTTTCGGAGCAAAATGTGTGCCATGTGTGCTACCACATGAGTTACCATAACCCGTTTATCACAGACAGAGCAAGTTTCAATGTCTACCTGCTCATCTATATACTGCTTGGTAAAGTCCCGCAGATACTCCTTAAAGGGCTTGTTAACTCCTGTATCGAGAGGCTGAACAAGATCAGTACAGCCCCCAGGAATAAGAGAGGTGATAACCCCATTTTCTTTGAGTTTTGAGAGTATGGCCAAGGTCTTGTAGAAAGATGCAATGTCCAGGACAAGTATGCTGCGTTCGCACAGGAATTGGAGATCTGAGGCTGATGTAGATTTAACATTCAATGAAGGGAATAGCTCCTGGTCGAGAAACTGTAAAAAATGGTCTTCGTTGTTATACTGTAACGATCCCTCCTTGGATAGTTCTTAGTGATGGGGAACGATACTTCTCTTCTTCATTTTTTCTTTCCTTTGTCTTGTGATAGCACGAGGCCTCTGCCTATATTACCGATAGTTCAAGACCTTTTTCGTCTATCTGGAACACCTATCATGGGCTGTCTCTAACTCTTGTGCGTGAAAAGCTTTCCTTGGCATAACGATAACGTTGCAATAAAGATAAAGATCATAAAGGTGTTTGATATTTATTAAAGTAATAGATAGAAAAAGTACTTCGAATTTGATCGAATTGTATTTAAACTTGTACCGCCTATCCTGGCATATGACGAGCCCCCACTAGCACAGGAATACCGCAAATCGGTATACTACTCATCCTAAGTTAACTAAGTGTACAGTCCCCCACCTACCATCTCCGAGTCATGCCCGCATGGGAACTAATTACAAGACCATCAAACAACCTAGTACCCGCTCCGGTCCAAGTCCGTAGCCCTTCAGGTATGAAGCCAACCAGCAGTAAATGTAGCCGAAGTGGAGTAAAAGACCGATCTGACCAGGTTCCTCGTACAACAAACATAAAAGCACTACCACCTGGTCTGAAAACCGTCCCACGAAACCTCCACTATAATAGAAAACCAACAAAGCTCAAACTAAAGTTCAATCAAGCCGGGAAAGAGTAGGAAGAGCCAGAGGAAGCCAGCCCCACAGGTCCGGCAACAAGCACTGACCGAAAACGGGCAAGATGAATACCCAACTGACCCGACAAGAAGGGGGAGGGTGAACGAAAAGGAACAGACAAACAGAAGGTAGGCCCTACTTGCAATAGGTCAACCCGCCAACAACAGTCCACCACCGAACTACCCAAACGCACAGACAATGCCAGTGTCGGGCAGCCAATCGTCCCACACCACTCCAGGCAGCAACAATACCCACACCAGAGGGTAAGAGCTTTCAGGGTGAAAGCCATCGCCAACAAGTTGGGGAGGAGACACCTGGCTGAACCACCGTAAATGCTGCAAGGACAAAACTTCGCAGGGAACTGAGATAAACATCATCGTACGATTTTGACCGTAGAAACATAGTGTAATGAGGAGTGGCTAGGCAGTGACTGCCCTGCCACTGGAGCAATCATGCGGCCGGTACGATGAGTTGAACTTGGGAAGGTCATCAGTCTAACCAAAGGGTGTTTTGTATCGCAAGAACTAAGGACTCCATTAAAACCCAACAACCATGAACTGGCGCAAGGAATGACACCAGTGATCCCTCTAAACACAAAGTTCTATCCCCCTCAATCGAACGCGAAACCTGTGAGTAGGACATAGACAGGAATCTGAAATGATTTTACCATAAGGGGCTATCAAGCGACCATGATGAATAGCTCGAAGTGCCAGCATCGTGAGATAAACAGCTAGCAATGAAACGA